CAGTTTCGATCTCTTCTATGTCTTAGCAACACTCTCAGCGGGAGTCGAACCGTGGCGACAGTGCAGCATGTGAGCTTGACACGTTCACCACTCGGCCACATTGCCACGAGGGCTCTTGGGTCACAGGGCAGATGTCAATTTCAAAGAAGGCTGGGCATTACTCCTTATCACATTCTTTGGTGGGATTGTCGATGAGGCAAACGTATTTTGCGATAAATATCGACGACATTACTTATTTGTCGTATTTAAGTAGAGTCTCAAGACTACCACTAAATCAGTTATATGAGACTGGTAGTCGAATTTTCCCGCATAACTGATTTACTTGTAATCGCGAAGCCCTATTTGTATACACAAATAGAACTGCACAGTTTGTTCAGGGTACATGGGCGTGAAGACGACGCCTAATATCCGCAAGCATGGGAATCAGAGCCTAGGCGGTCTTCAGGTGAGGCGAAGTTGTACGTGCTACGGAAGCCTCGAGGAATAGCGCCGGCAGTAAAAAGGACACGGGCTGGAACCGAGTGAAATCGGTCAACGGAAAAGGTAAAAAACGGGCCTAAGGGCCCCGGAGACAGTTCCGGAGAGAGGGCCAGAGTCCACGACCCAAGGCTTGGAAATATGATACTCGCTATAGCAGAAGACATTGGACAAGGTGCATCCAACTAAGACGCCCTGACAACAAGGCCAAGTTGCGAAAATGAATAAAGCATACAGTCCTCGGCTCGCAGAGGATGGGAGAAAGAGAAGGAGACAAACGTTACCGACCTAAACAGTATTTCAGCAAGTGTTGGTTCCACCTTGTTGTCCCAACTCGGTCGCAGCGTCGGGGAGACCTTGTGGAGCGTACCCAGTCCAGTATATCCTCGTCATGGTCGTTTGCGCATTTTCTCCAAAGATGTCTGTATACGCTTACTAATAAGCATGTTTCTTCCAGGCAAATTCATGTGAATGTTTCACTGTGTTTGATAACCTGTCGTCTGATTTCTTGAGTTTCAAACATGAACTTTACCAACTTGTGTGCTGCTCGATATTTGTTGTTGAATATCAGCCTTAGCGGTTCGACTTCTTTGTATATCTTTGGCAATCTGTAGGCTGTTGATGGTCGTGCATCATTTCTTATTGTCGTGCTTACTTCCATTTCGATTGAAAGTGTTGGGTAAAGAGATTCGAAGGCCGATTCCACCAGAAGACGACGGCGGATTCCTCTTCACCAGCTGCTGATTGGCTTTACTGGAACATTCATGTGACGCTGTTTCCGAGGTAATCTCCTTCGATTCCGATGACAACGTGCTAAACTTTTGTTCATCATATGATGGAATCGACCTTAGAATCTCTTCACTAAACACTTTTACTCGAAATGGAAGGTTCCTCGAAACCCACATTTTCTTAGTACCTCCTTTTTTATGATTGAATTTTGTGTCCATGTGTCAATTTCCCTGTTCCTATGCATACCTTTTAGTATGTCACTTAAGATCCCATTGATCTTCACAGTTGAGCCCTTCTTTACTTTACGATATGTAGTCTTGTTTCGTAGAATATTTTCAATCTTCTCGGTAGATTGTTTTTTGTCCATTATCACTGTCGCTTCTCCTAATTGTCCATTCGTTTCCAGGGCCTTGCGTATCCAGGCCAACTGTTCCTGTGTATTGGTTCTTGATGTGTCAAGCTCTTTTCCATTATTTCCATCTCCATTTCCCGTTTAGTCTACTCAGGGGACTTTTCTGAGATATTAATAACCTCCACAAAAATGTCTGCTCAAAGGCTTCTGCCATTTTGAATTGAAAAGTTGAATCCTTTTCTCACGATCGTGATGGTTCCGGGATCAAGAGGAAATGATGCTAAATTCACTACTTTCTTCCGATCATTATGCTCATCCATAGGTGTTGTCACATCGGAAACGACTTCAACTTGGCTCACCGGTCCTAACTTGAGCTGTCATATAATCCCAAGCTTACGCAATTTTTTGTCGTGTCGTTTTGTTACTAAGTCAGAGATCCTGCGTGATTTTCTGTCAGTCATGCTCTGGAGTTTTTGAAAGTCTTCCTGCTTCAGGAAACTGGCCAGATCAAGCCGGAGCTTTGACTTAATATATATAAAATTAAGTAGCCTAATCCTCTCCGTATCATAAGTTTCACTTAACTTCTGAATAGAGGCCTGTTGTGAACTCTCATTAATCTTATCCAAATGATAAGGTTTCTTAAGGTCACAGAACTTAGGAGTGATACCATAACATTTACAACAGTTTAAAAAGGTCAGATGGCAAGAATGACTTACAATTGTCTTTTTCTCTGGTTCTGTTCATTGCTTTGTCTGGCAATATTACCACCGTAATTTAAGCAAAGATATGAATATCAAGATGGTGTGGCTCTTGGTAAGGTCGCAGTTTCCTTTCGATGTTTGGAAGTCGGTTGACCTCATTTTCGTAATTTAGTCTTGTTGTCAGAACGTTGGTCGATCTATTGACTTCATTTGCCTACTTTACGAGTTGTAACTGAGATTGGTGCGGAGAACGGCAAGACTGACTGATGAGGCCGACTATGATGCCGGAAAAATGTCTGAGAGTGTACCAAGTCCACGGTCTAATCGCAGGTATGAAGACCAAGATGGTGTGGCCGGACGGG